CAAAGGAAACTCTAGATATTCCAGTAAACCTTCAACAAGGGATAATTAAAGATCTCTCTGTTAAATTATTAGCAAAATAGTGTTAACTTGTGAGAATCTTTACAAGCTTGTTGCATGAAAATTATAAAGAAAATCTAATGACTAGATTTTCTACAAATAAACAAAACCGATTTCAAAGACCTGTTTATTTTTATTCGTGTTGCCATGGCAACGGCACATACGTCGGCTTAACCATAAAAAAACCAAAGTTTGTGTTGTTAACTTGCTAGCTGCCATTCTTGGCGACCGAGAGATCAAGGGTTTTAGAGAAAAAGGTGAATGAAACACAGGTATCAAAAACTGTGTTCAGCCACCTTAACATCAAGTTTATTTCGATCTTGTCCTCCCGAGAGCAGGGGTAGTAGATTCCACCCACCTACCCTAACCTCAAGAGTGTCAAAACGATGACGACAGGTTGACGGAGTACGGTATTTCCAAAAAACGTGTATCCAAATGAGGAATAGTGGCGAATTGAATTAAACGAAAACGTTAAGGGTTTTTTTTTTTGCGTTAACGGCCGAATTTGAACAAAGCCAGCACCTTCCTATATATTTTACTTACCTGCGATTGATACATGATCAGGCACTGAAAATAATCATAAAGCTTGGATTAAATTCAAAGTAAGACAACTTTGGTAACAAATTTTGGTATTTTCTACTCAAATATTGTTCTATATGTTATGTATAATTTGTTTTAGAATAACTTGATGAGTGAGAAGAACAAAATTTGTCATGCGGCTTGACTTTGTTACGGTGGCCGGCAGTCGTTCTCGTCCTTAAGCGCCGCGCTCCTTTTGGTCGGCAGTAAGATTCTTGGTGTTGAACATATGGAGCGCGGGCTCTGGGGACGAGAATGGCCAGCATTGCGTTATAGAGTGTGTTCACGAGACGTCTTCAAATTATCAAATCCAAAACTAAAGAGCCCCTAAAGGTTTTATCCTCATCAGGCATAAGAGGTACTAAATTTATATCTGTTTACAACTTTCCAGCTCAATGGCGACCAGCGCATTTATGGCGGTACGTGACTTGAAGCCAAGTCGCGTTTGTTGAAAAATATACACTTATCTCGTGATTTTTAGCCATTTTAGGAGTTAAAGTATTAGGAAAAATGCTGGTGTAAATGTGTTTTGGTTCGGTTCAGATAATCAGTTGTCTAGATAGCCAAAGTAAGTTCTAGATGTTAACACTATTTTCCGGCCCCCATATTGGAGGACGAAGGAGGTCCTCCAACATGGCGGCTCCATACTAGGCTCTATAATTTTTTCGCAGAACATTTCGACGAACATCTCAACTTTGGGACAACGCACACACCTTGAATGTTTTTTGATTTTATTTTTTTATTGCGTGACAATGCACACGCTCTATACTTAACTATACCTGGACATGACGGCCATGGTCACAGGAAAGATGAAGTAACTACACAGTTATACAAAGATTAATTGAGCCAATGGCTTACTTATCTGTGTTGCGCCAAAAAGAACGACGGCTTGCAGGATTCGCAAGGATATCATCTTTTATGTCTGTTACAGAAAAAGAAATATTTTTAAGAATATGTGTTCAATTTGGAGAAAACCACATCCGTGTTTAATTTGACTTTATTTTTGTGGTATCCCCAGAGAGAACAGTAACCAACAGAAAGCTGCTTTGCAGCATGGTGTTATCATACGTTTAAGAGTGGGAAAAGTGCTAGCGTGGAGTTGAAAGTAGGGGAGTTGCGAGTTACCAGTTCACTGAATTTTACAATGACAAAATGGTTTGTGGTTATAATTGGTACTCTTCTTAAGGTGAAATTCCAGTTTAGCTCAAAAGTTGCTTGATATTGACTTATCATCATTATTATTAATATTATTATTATTATTATTATTAAGTGTATTATCGTTTGTCTCACGATGTAGTCACTTGAGATGTAGATCGCGACGTTTCGACTGCTTACTGCTAGTCTTCTTCAGGCGATAAGGTCG